GAACCACAGACCAGAATAGTCTGGACTGAGATTGCCTCATGTAGAGGGATGGCAGTGCCTTCCCCAAGCAATCCCATCATCTTGGCTGTAAATGTAATAAACTAAAGCATTATTTAAAGGCAACGTTTAGAGTTTTTCTTCTGCAGCAAACAATAGCTCTTCCACTATGAAGCAACAGGGACTTGTTTTTCCATCAGACAGCAATTTTGGGGGTTTTCAGTGATGTCTAAAACTGCATCATCTTATAGACTGGAAAAGCACAATTTCAACAAATGCTTTGTGGAGCTGGCTTCTTGGATTGGAGACAGGATTGGTTCTGCTGTGCAGCAGACTGGGAAAACCATTTCTGGAAAATTTGCTTCACAGACCTTTAGAGATTAGAACCGTGAAAAGGTCAAGCACTGTCTGAACTCCTTCAGAAACAGTCCAAAAGACCATAAATGACTAAAACTGCCAATTTTCAAAGTGCTGCATCTCTGATCTTCAAAGCTCTCTCTTCAAACAAACAAGGCTTTAGTGTGGCTTCGTCTATTTCTTGAAAAAGCTGTAGGTGATAAAAGAATGACTTACAAAGAACATGAGACAATCAGAATCAGAGCTGTTTTAGGTCATTAGTGGTCCTTCTTATAAAATCTCCAATCAAATTATATCATTAGCAAATTAAATAATACAAAACATTAGTAATTTAAGAATGTTTTTGTGTTTTATTTAATTTAGGCAAATTTCTGACATTTTTGAGATGCTGTGATTCCTCTCATTTTGTCTTTGTAAGAGCTGTCGACACTTACTCTCTAGAAGAAGAAGAAGCTGCACTGGGAACAGGTGGCAGAATTTTCAAGGCTGAATATAAAACCAAATCTTTATCACACTTTTAGCACTAAGGTAAAACGATCATTCGAAGAAGAAGAGGGGAGCAGCCCGGATGTGTTCGCTTTCGAGGATTTCCTCATGTTTCTGTCTTTATTTTGTCCTCACACGTTCACAAACCCACAGATGCATATGCGCACACACACACACACACACACACACACACACACACACACACACACACACACACACACACACACACACACATGCAGTGGGTTATAATCTTTCCACACAATGCTCTGTTCATGTATTGTACAACGAGACGGACAAAAGCTTCCACCAAAACGTACATTTTATTGTCAAACCTGAGAGTGTGTTTCTCTGAGCTCCTAGCAACACAACGACGACGGCGCCTCCGCCACCACAAAAACAAAAACAAGCCTTGTGACAGCCGTTGTTTACATCGCTGCTGCTGGAGTACAGTAGCCCGTGACGTACGGCCGCAGCCGGACGGGCGGCTGTAAATCACAGCAAAGTAACAGTTTGCTGATAGACTCAGACAGCCTAATCTGGCTAATGGCTCCCTACCTCTCTGTGATGGATGGGTGTCTCTGCAGGAGTGTGCGCTCTTGATACAGCGACAACCTGTGCATGCTGATTAAGATAGAGTGTGATCATTGACGGATTATGAGACAATGGACCCCTGGGTATAGATGCCCCCCCCCCCCCACCCCCATCTTTCCCACAAAGGAGCAAGACCCCAACAGACTGAAAGACACACAAAATGGTGCATTGTTTGTAGTCCTTTTGCCTCTTTGTTGTCGTTTTATGATTCTTTGTGGTTGTTTTGAGTCTCTATATGGTTGATTTGCTTCTCTTAGCAATCGTTTTGGGTCTCTTTACAGTTTCGTGTCTCTTTGTGGTTGTTTGTTTCTATTTTTTAGCCATTTAAAGTCTCACTGTAGTTGCGTTGCGTCTCTTTGATTGACTGTCCACGCAGAAATGTTAACATGATGCCCCCTGACCCCTCAGGCCTGTTCAGTAATCCCTGCATGAGTCTGATTATAAAAAGGTATGTTTATACAAATTCTTGTGTAGCCTGCAGTGAGTCAACTGAAAGTTGCTAACCATATTTTTTGAACTGGACCCAAACGTCAGCAATTAGATGAAAACTTTAATTTGCTCTTGGCCGGAGAAGTTGAGTCATGTCCCACAAGAACACATTAGACTGAGTCTGCTGAATCTTTGAGCAGAAAAATGGCAGTGATGCTGCAAAACTGAAACAACCCAGGTAGAGGAGGGACCCGAGAGTCACTTAAGGTTGCCAGAGAAAATCTGAGCGAGCAGAGAGAATAAATAAGGACAATCAACAGTGAGCAGAGAGCAGTGATGTGAGGCCGGGCAGGGCAGAGAGAGAGAGAGAGAGCCTTCCCTGCATGAATAAGGAAACACTTTGCCCTGCTCCCTTTCAATAAAGACCTCCTGTGGCCGCGGCCACTGCATTTTTATGATCCCCTACATGCTGCAAATGTTCAGCTTTCTTCTTTGAGCTGCTTTCCAAAAATCACTGTTGCATTTTCAGGCTGAAAACTGTGAATAGCTTTTCGTCTCATTCTAAGGGCGAGATGCAACATAGGAAAACACAGTCTGAGTCCAACCGGATCCTGCTACTGTCTGAGAAAACTTTGTCTCCTTGAGCGTCTCAATTCAAGGTCCAATGGCACACGCCAGATGTGCAGGACAGAAAGTTGTTGTAGTCCATATAAAGTAGCAGGGAGTTACATTTTAAATGTCACCATGAACCACAAAACTACAAATCCAGTCAAGGGCCCTTCTCCCTCGTTTCCACTGTCCAATAAAGACATAAAATTCAAAAATTCTAAAGATTTATTGATGTTTAAGTTGCCTTTTTTCTGAGCACTTCAAGGACTCATCCTTCAAAGTTGAAACTGAACTTTCATTCCTGACCTTGCAGAGGTTTCTCATATACTCTACACTTCACTGACAACTGGGCAAACTCCATCTAATGTGGCACAATCAAAAAGCTCCGTAACAGTTACTAAATGGAGCTCGTGGTGAGATTGTTTTGTCTGTCCTCCAGGTGCACACAATACATTATCAGGGGTTTCTGTGGTAATCAGAGCTGACCTCGAGTTCTTGCTGGAAAAAGACAATTCCCAAGTTAATGAATCATAAAACAAATAGCTTTTTTAGAAGCTCAAATCAGAACATGAAGTTATAATCAGCTGGCACGCCCTCATTCAGCAACGCTACCTGTTGCATCAAACTCCAGAGTCAGTCTTTTAAAATCGGATACGACTACAACCCGAACTGCTGCGTTCATCAGTCTGTTTGCTCTGCAGTTACTTTAGCTACATTTGATATTTTAACTAATGCTAATAGCGACTGAGAAAATGCTTCTTTTCTCCAGCTGGTTTTCATGAATGAAAATCCAGAGGAGGTGGCAAAGAGCAGCAGGATACAGCGGGGCTTATGAGCTCCTGTAAAGATCACATATTTAGGTCATGAGCAGAAAAGGTGAAGGCCGTGTGGGGATATATAAAGACACACTTCATTGACCAAATCAATACGGAGTATCGTAAAGGCAGATTAGCCGCCTCTTGGTATCCAGCCAAGGAGAAGCACATTGATCTGGTTCTGTTTGCCAAAGGCTGCTTTACGTAAAAACCTTGTGTAAAGGTAAAGAGAGCAGGAATCTGACCAGTGGGTCGGATGATTTACGTGCCGGTGCGTTCCCACTACAGCTAATTAAACAGGCCGGAGAGTGAGCAGGGGATTGCTTTGAGATTCCAATCCCCTGATAAACATTATATTAAGGTTTTGGCAGTTTTACGACAGCTGTTTGTCCAGGTGAAATATAAGGTGTAAATAGTGCGACAGCAAATCTCCACTCACCTCAAATCAAACAGACAAAACAATATGTGCTACTGTCACGTACTTAATGCCCTGGATAATGAAAAAGAAGCTCCATTTGACAGACACACCTGCCCTATGTTGTAGATGATGATCTTTAGTACCATCTTAAATCAGCATGGCATCCATTCATTAATACTTTGAAGGTTTTTTAGCCACTTAACATCCAGTTTTTCCCTTTTGTTCCACTTTTAGCTCCAAGTTTGTTAAAATAATCTTATTGCACACCATCTAACAGAATCTTATATTCTGCATCATCTTATTCTCTTCTCTGAACTCCATGTTTTTATGGCTTTCATGGCTGTGTCTTTAATCTTTTGATACTGATTTCCCCAGAAGTCAGCCTGACATATTTATACATTTTTAGAAACCTTTGGATTTACACTAGAATTTAAAATGAAGTCCAGAGGGTTTGAACAATGTGTGGCTGCACAGCAGGGGTTTTTGTACTGAGTGGACCACCAGCAGGTTGAAGGGATTTAACTGACTCAAAAAGACACAAATATAATAAAGAGAGATGCACTGAAAACTGGAAAATAAAGTTACTATTGTCCCTTTTTTGTCCAAAATAAAGGACGAACATTCTAATTTTCTCCTATTCATGCCATGTATTGAGAGAGATATCCAAAAATCTTGGTAAAATATGAATACGTCCATCGAAACAGAATGAGCAGCTTGGACTGGAAAACATAAAATTAGGATAAACTTACTTTTTAAATATTCGTTCTGATTTTAAGGAGGTTATTTCTCAAAAAATTGGTAAAAACAAGAAAAAAATCCTGCTTGAAGAAAAAGGGGAAGCACCTTAAAGTGATGGCTCACCTCAGAAACACCTGAATGATCAGCTGATTTAGCATTACATGCCATTTGTTGTTGTGTTATTTCTGTGAAAATTACTTTGAAATGGTCATTGCATTTTCATCAATCAGCTTATGTTTGCTCTGCTGTTCTTTACGAATTTGATGAAATAAATATTGTATTTTTCTAATGTAGTTTTGCATGTGTGCTAGTGTTTACTTGAATTTGCTTTTAGAAAGACAGGTTTCTGTATTTGGTGCCAATAAAGCACCTCTGACTGAGCTTGAATAAACAGACACAATATGTTCAAACGCAAATATTCTGGTTGAAAATCTGAATTCTTTGCATCTATTTATCATTCTGACATCACTGTTTATGAACCTAACTTTACTGTAAGATTATGAGATCAACATTAAACGTGAGAGAGGCAAAGCCACTAACTCAGAAATGGAGAGACTCACTTGCTCCGACCATTGTTTGCCAGCAGGCCAGAAGCGGCAGCAGCAGCAGCCCGAGGTCCAGGTGAGGAGACGCGGTCATAACCTCCTCTGTCTCTGCGCACACACCTCTGGCTCTTCAGCACCTCCTGCTCTTCTTTTATCCCTACTTCAACCCTCCTGCGATTTACTGGAGGTTTCCCCACAGGGTCACCGCTGTTTCCTCATCACCCTTCATCTTCATCTTCTTGTAAGGCAGGGGGCGATTTTTAGAACCTGCACAGCTTTTATTTCCAACTTGCACAAAGTAGGTCAGTAGGTATGCAGCTGCGAATTCAAATGAGCCTCTGCTGGGTGAAAATGAACGGACATTTCTCAAACCCCCCCACCCCACCTCTCCGCCCGGGTCTCAAACGCGCAGCGCTGCCTTCACAATCCCGCAGCCCGGAGAAGCTAACAGGTAGTTCGCCCCTCTCTGCCACCTGTCCTCGGCTCAGTTTGCGTCAAATGTCAGCCGGAGACGGTTTCAGCACCGCGGACAGCGCTCAGCCAGGTCCGCTGTCATTCCAGCGAAGAGGAGGGAAGGAACGGCGTTTTTATGAGATTTAAATAAATAAAAAAATATAAAGGAAAGAAAGCGAGGTTATATCTGATTGAGACGCGGGAGTGCAGAGGTGGTCCGTCACATCCACAAGGCGGCAGGATGGTCTAATCTGACAGATTATGGGAAGCCCGCAGGATCAGAAAATGTCTCTGTCTGCAGGAGCTTCGGTGGTAACTCCTCCAGCCAACCAAACACACACACACACACACACACACACACACACACACACACACACACACACACACACACACACACACACACACACACACACACACACACAGGACATCTGCACGCTGCTTCCTTCAGCGCCAACACTGACGTTACAAATCCTGTCACTACACAGAGGATGGAGGATGAAGAGGTTGGGGAGGGGTTCTCATCACTGATTTACCTGCATGTTATCAGTGACCAACACTCTGAAGAGGCATCTGTTGATTATGTCATCATCTCACTGGTTATTAAACCATTTACCAATCATTTATCCATCAGTTATTGCCAATGTAAGTAACTTCTGGGTTGCCAGATTCTGAAAAATCCTCCTCCCAGACACTTTTCTTGCCTTTCTAGCTCTTTAATTCATTAGAGAGACCTCTGTGTTTGACCACTTATCATCTGGAGAAGAGCTGCAGGACATCTGGACCAAAGTCCATTTAAAAACTGCTTGTTAGCATTCACCACTGCACTTACTTGAGTGAATATTGAATATGTAGCTATTTCACAACTCTGGAAATAATTAAATTAATCAGAGCAAGTGAGATGTCTGACAAAACAACCTTTGTCATATGGGCTGTCTTTACAAAAACAGGCACCAACACACTTGCCTTCATATCGACTGAAATGAAACTTCAATTCTCTAATTGAAACAACACAGGAATTACTTTTGTATTATTATCTAAACATTAATTATAAGAGAAGTTATCTCAGGGCACCTCTCATAAAGAGCAGGTCTTGACTGTATACTCTTTACAATATTATTCGGAGACCCAACAGTCCCATCATGACGAAGCACTTGGCGACAGCGGCTAGAAGAAACTCCTTTAAACAGGAGGAAACCATGAGCAGAATCAGTTTCATGGTGGGGGACTGGTTGGGTTGAGAGATGGAGGGGGAGGAGAGGGGGAGAGGGGAAGAGGGAGAGAGAGAGAGTGTGTGGGGGGGATTAAGGCGTTTAATTAGTCCCAAATCCATGCACTAAAACCAGGCGCGTGCATATGAGTGCACAAATGCAGCCCTGCGAGCAGAAAGAAATGTGTGAGTGAGTAGACAGGAAGTACTTTCATTTAAGTTATTAGCCAAGCTCGCAGTGTCGCTCAATATGTCAATACTCAGTACAGTATGTCAGTCTGTTGGCTCTGGTCCAAACTGAAATGAATTAATTACTTCTACTACAGCTTGAACTGGAAGTTTTGAAGACTTAAAACATTCAGTCCAAAATACTTTAGAGCTAAAACAAAGTGTTTCACCAAAAACAGAAAAAATGTGTATAAAATTTCATAAAAATAGATATGTATATTTTTGGTCAGAGCTATGTTTTTACATCTGTCCAGCCTGTTATTCACATGTGACCTCCAGGTCGGGAACAGCTACCTATAGGAGACATAAACAACACAAACAAGTACAAGAGAACTCTATTTACACCACTATAATACAACTATAAATCATATTATTGTATAACATCAATGAAGTATTACAAGACCTCAAACTGTAATTGGAGAGAAAGCAGTGGCCGTTTACTTGTAACATTAAAATCTGAGGTTAGGTTCATATAGATTTTTCAATATGAAGCAAACCAGAGCAAATTATTTTCTGCTCATGATAATAACTTTAAAAAAATCAGTTGTGGCAACCGTGCAGCTACAGAACTGAGGGCAGAACACATTGACCTTGGCTTGTAGAGTCAATAAACAAAAGACACAGTTCCCGACCTTCTGCAAAGCCTTTTCTATGGTGTAACCTGGCATTTGTCCCAGATACTGTAAGGTGTCTAAATAAAACACCTGTAGGGCAGTTTTCACCCATCATTAATACTGAGTTGAAGCTTTTCCTTTTAGTCTCTAATTTATTTTTTTTTACATCTTTGGTATTAAATATGGATTCAAGATCAATTTTTCTTATTGATTTTACAGGTAGTGAACACGATGCTAACTTATTTCACCATATATTACCAGCAGGAATTTATGCTAAATGAGCACAGATGGATGCTGCAGCTTTGGAACAGCTTGTGATTTAAACGTCACAGCAGAGAGCAGAGGAGCAGATTCATTTTTTTTTTTTTAATTTGTTTTGTTCTCCATAATCTTACTCGAGTTGGCTCGCCACCACCACCATCATCAGTTTTAATTGTTTGCAGCTGTGAGGAGCTACGTGCACCGCGTGGCCGCCGACCGCATGAAAAAACTTTTTTACAGACTCTATTCTACACGTTTAAAACCTGCATGGAGTTAGTTTGTAGTATGGAACTACATTATTATTATTATTATTATTATTATTATTTGAGAAGTTTTCATCTTTTATTGTCTGACAATATCAAATTAAAGTTGATATTAAAGGTTTTTTGTGGATGTGGACATTAAACAGAGGACTGGCCTGTACCGATGTTATAATTAAAATATTCTATTAGTACCCCAGCAGTCGAGAAGTTTTACAGCTTTGTTTGAGAATCTATGGGTTCACAGATCTATCAAATAAATTATCCAGACATGGAACCAGTGTTTCTCTTGTTGACAGCTGAGATGGTCCAGACATCTGCTCAGGATGCCTCCAGGACGCCTCCCTGTGGCGGTTATTTTGAGCAACTGGGAGACGACAACAGCAATAAGAAGATCAAGAACATGCTGGAGGGTTTGGATACCCCATCTGGTCCTGGCCACGCCTCAGGATCCCCCCCCTCGCAATAGCTGAATCATCGACTGGAGAGAGGATGTTTCTACTCTACAGAAGGAAGGGAGCAGCATCTAAAGGAGCAGATTAAAGTTTTCAGGCCGCAGATACTTAAGCTGTAAGGCCTTCATTTAAACACCTGTAGCAGGAGTTAGCTGGGTTTGTCTTCTCTGCTCAATGGAGGGACAATAATGTGTGTAATGACCTTTAACATCTACTGACTTGCTACAAGCAGAAAGGTTTTCCAGACTCGATGCTGCATGATGAATTCTCAGTCCTACTGTAACATCACAGGTTATTACAAGTCTAGCTGCTTTGTTGTTTCATTTCCACTTTACTTCACGCTTGACGATTCGTGCTCCCTCTCTCTCTCTCTCTCTCTCTCTCTGCTCCCAGGAGGACGAGCCGGCCAAAATCAACGAAGTCTTACTTCCTTGTTTATTGCAGTATATGCAAATGTGTTTCGGGGGTGTAAAGACAAAAAGCCCTTAAGTCATGTCGCAGAGTGAACGGATTAAGGATGTGTTCGTTTTCATTAACACACAATGCAGAATAAATGCCTGATGGGAACTTTTGGATTTCAATATTTGAGTCTAAACTAATTTTTCTGGGTTTTATTTTCAGTCTGGATCAAAAATAAAGCTCTAGACAATAATGAGAACTTAATTAGCAACTAACTAACTAACTAAACTGATTTTGGTTACTAAATACAAATGATCTGATAACGAATGCGCTGATAATTAATTCTCGCACTGATTTCGGTGATCTTTAATTGTTACACCACACCTCCACATCCTACTGAAGACATCAAGTTGCTGTAGATGACTCCTGGTTACTCTATCAACATTTCAGTTACCGACTCTGTCCACCAAGGGGAGCTGGCTGCCTGCACAACGTGATTTGTCCTGTGGCGACACCAAGATTATGAGTCAACCAACTTCAGCAATTCCTTCCTCCAGCAGGACACACACGTCCAGTACAGGCAGTGAAATGAGGCTGGTTTTATAAAGGCCGAACCACATCGCTGTGTACAAATACAGTCTCATCTGTCGGCAAAAACAGGCTGTAAATCATTAGAGCTTAGATTTAAATGGACTGACTAACCATCCAGGGACTGTGGTACCTCCGGAGTATTAACTGCAAGCAGCTGGTAACAAATTATTTCACACCCAAATCATTTCAATAACAAGGCAACAATGGGATGTTCGAAAAACACACACAATCTAAATGAAAGAACTGACACAATGGCAGCAATTCATGTTGTCTCAGTGGTGCCCAACTTGGAGGTTGGGGCCCCTCCAAGATAAATCTCAGGGGTCATGATTAACAAGACATAAAAGAAGAAGACAAAACATTACTGCTACACAAAAGTCTGCTCATTTTGTCTGGATTTTCTCAAATCTTCTTTCTTCAGGCGACGTGAGAAAAACGAATCCACCATTTAATTTGACATCAGTGTATAACTTGATCACAATGACAGTGATGCTGATGTTTAGCAGGTTTAATGTTCAAAGCACTAAATACACAGTAGAGCCTATGGGAATGTCATGAGTTTGATTCCAGATGTTTTACCATAAGAGTTAGTTTATTTTAATATTGCAACCATACAAAACCACAAATGTCGCTCTCATGTTGACGCTCATCAGGATTCTTCCTCTGGGAACACAAAGGTTTCATATGAGATTTCCTGACAATCCATGCAATAGCAGAGCCGTAGATAAGAAGCTCAAACTGCCAACTCAACATATTATCATGAGTTATGAGTGTTCATATGTGTTCCTTAAATACCGGCGAGTAAAGCACAAACTTTACGGTCCATCCTGAAACAGTGTTTTCA